TTTTTACCAGACGTGACTCGACCTCTCTTCTGCGGTTCCTGTCGTCTCTACTGCCCGTAGACTTGCGAACGAAATCCGTCTTTCCACGCTCAAGTAGCTTAGTCCAAAGGTAAAACCACGAATATTTTCCCGTGCAACAAACTCAATGTGAGTGGTAGCGCTCCCTGGGCGAAAGCTTCTAATTCATTAACGCTCTGAGGGGTACGGCAACAGCCACCAGTTGCCAGATTTTTGTATGATAACCGGTAAGCCATACTTAACCCGAAAGTACTTAGGTTTGGGACAAGGTTGGAGGTAATCCTTGCTTCCGAGAGAAGGTTCTCGGAAGCACCGCACGGTGTGTACGATGGCGCCGACATCATGCGACTGAAACGGCACATCTAATTCGGACCCTGAAACTCGGACACAAAGTCCTATTTCAAAAACACAAAATGAAGAACGACTTTTCCTCGGAGTGCCTCATGTTTGCGCCTGCTTATATTCCCTTTACGCAATGCCGCATTTCGAACTGCGATTGCAGTGTTGCCCTATTCTCACGGTCGCGGTCTTGAGTATCCTACTTGAGATCATGCACGAAGTTCTCTTGCGAACGACTTACTCTATCGTATACTTGGGATCTGGAGAGAACCATTTGTAGCGTCTGTTTCCTCTGACAGTATTGCTCTAATCGATGATTTCATGTTCCTCGGGACCTGCCGTGGTCTCGGCATGCCTTTTCCGTCGGATGAACTCAAAGCACTCGAAGAATCTTGGCGATGTGAGACGGAATCATTACATCAGCAATTCAACCAGAGATCCGATGAACTCCACATCTCTAACAGCTCGCAGATAGATAAACCGACTGGAGCACGTCGGACCACTCCCGATCACCGATGGACTTTGGCTTACACACACCACTGCAACGGAGTCTTAATGGCCCGATGGACGGTCACACCACGACCCCTGCCCGTCGCCTTATTCCCCGCTCTCGTGTCGATCGCGGGGGTACCGGGACCGGACACACAACAACGACGGCCCACCGATTGCGGGGAAATAACGGAAATATGCATATTTTGACCCAGATTTTGCTTCTTCTCCCCCGCTGCCCAGCTTTTGGATTCCCAGCATCACCGCATAAACGAGGACTTCTGCATCGCCGATGCTACTCAGAGTCGTCATATCCGCCCACGTGAACCCCGCGATTGAGGAACGCTCCGCAGTCAGGTCGGACGACCGGTGCAAGTGAGGGGCAATTGGGATTCTTTTGATTCTTGGCGCAGCGACATGATCGTGACATGCGCCCAGCCGGAGTCGTGAGAATGGCCGGGAACGCTGATCCTTTCCGTCAAGATTCTCTGCCGAGGCGTTAGTAAGAGTCTCTCTTTCTAGAACACTACAGAATTGGGCAATGGAAACCAGAGAGGTTATGGGGCGCGTTATAAAGGTCGCGCGGTGGTTGTCGGCGGCAGCCAGTTCCTAGGAGGGCCACGGCACCAGTAGGTCTTCCAAGTCCCTCGCTAGGGCTCGTTTGATCATCATGGACCTCATCTCAGGCCTAGGCTTCCCGGGTGCTTTGCCAGACTGGACGAATCTGAATGTCTTGCACCGCAACACTCTTCCTCCGCGCGCACACTTCTACTCGTACGCCAGCGAGGACGCCGCACTCTCCTTCGATCGCTACCAGAGCGAGTACCTCAGTCTCAATGGCACCTGGAAGTTCCACTACGACCAAAGCCCCTTCGAGGCTCCCATCTGGGAAACCGCGAACACGACCTCATGGGACGACATCGAGGTCCCGGGCATGTGGCAGCGTCAGGGCTACGGTTATCCTCACTACACCAACATCGACTACCCCTTCCCAGTCACTCCTCCCAATGTCTCTTACGTAAACCCCACCGGATCGTACTGGAGAGAGTTTGAGATCCCCCAGGATTGGGACGAAGACCAGCAGATCCGCCTCCGCTTTGAAGGTGTCGACAGCGCATTCCATGTCTGGGTCAACGGCGAGGAGGTCGGCTACAGTCAAGGAAGCCGCAACTCCCACGAATTCGACATCACGGACTACCTCACTCCAGGCGAAGCCAACACCCTCGCTGCACGCGTGTACCAATGGTCCGATGGATCCTACATCGAGGATCAAGACCAATGGTGGCTTTCCGGTATCTTCAGAGACGTCTATCTCATCCCATTCCCTCGCTCCTCGATTGCGGATTACCAAGTCAACACCTACGTTGATGACACCTTCTCAAGCGGCACCGTCCGGCTCAACACGACAATCCAGGGTGATCCAGGCAACACGACCGTCAAACTCCTTTCCCCGACAGGCGACACCCTCGACGAATGGACCGGCGCATCGTCCGACATCTACGAGCACACCCTCACAGGCCAAGATTTCCACCTCTGGTCCGCCGAGACACCCATCCTCTACACCCTCCTCGTGACCTTCAACGGCCGCACCATCAGCCAGCGCGTCGGCCTCCGCCGCGTCGAGATCGTCGGCAACAATTTCCACGTCAACGGCAAGCCCATCACCATCTACGGCGTCAACCGCCACGAGCACAACGCCATCTCGGGCCGCACCGTGCCGTACGCCAATATGCGCGCCGACCTCATCCGCATGAAACGCTCCAACATCAACACCATCCGCACCTCTCACCAGCCGCCGCACCCGGACTTCTTCGATGTCGCCGACGAGCTCGGCTTCTACCTCATCTCCGAGGCGGACCTCGAGTGCCACGGCTTCGGCAAGGTCGAGGAAACGGACGAGAAGGCGGCCGAGTGGACGTCGGATAATCCCGAGTGGGAGGCTGCGTACATCGACCGAGCGCACGCGCTCGTGGAGCGGTTCAAGAACCATGCGTCCGTGATTATTTGGTCGCTGGGCAATGAGTGCTTCTACGGCAGGAACTTGGATGCCATGACGACGTGGATCAGGGAACGCGACCCTAGCAGGATTATTCATTATGAACCGGACCGCAATGCCACGTCGGTGGATATGTACAGTCAGATGTACAAGTCTCCGAAGAGTGTTCGCGAGTGGGTTGGTAACCACACGGACAAGCCCTTCATTCTCTGTGAATACGCACAGTAAGTTACTTCTTACGTCTCTCGAATTCTGTTAACAACATTCCAGTGCAATGGGTAACGGGCCCGGCGGCCTAAAGGAGTACATCGAACTCTTCCGCTCAGAGCCCCTCGTCCAGGGCGGTCTCGTCTGGGAATGGAGCAACCACGGCCTTCTAAAGAAGGAAGGTGATCTTGAGTACTACGCCTATGGCGGAGACTTTGGCGACGAGCCCAACGACGCCGACTTCATCATGGACGGCCTCACTCTCTCCGACCACAACCCCATGCCTTCGTTGATCGAGTACGCCAAAGCCATCCAGCCCATTACCGTAGTTCTCTCAGAAGACGGTCACCAAATGGTAGTCACAAACCACTACGACTTCCTCGACGTTAACTGGCTCGACGCCTCGTGGCACATCATCCAAGACGGCCAAGACCCAACGTCCCCGCGCCCCCTCGACCTTGAAAGCATCCCCGCCGGCGAACAACGCGTCCTCGCCCTCCCAACCGGCACCTCAACACTCTCGGGCGAAGCCTGGATCACTGTCGAATTCGCGCTCAAGAACGACACGAACTGGGCTGAGAAGGGCCACATTATCGCCTGGGACCAACTCCACGTCAACGCCCCAGCTCCAGCCGCAAACATCACCGCGCGCGCCGCCCTCACCACCCGCCAATCCTCCTCGACCCTCAACTTTACCCAGGAAAGAACCCACCTCAAAGCCTCCACATCCTCCTCCGCCTTCGACTTCGACCTCCTCCAGGGCAACGTATCCTGGACCGTCAACGACACCCCCATCTTCACCCGCGGACCCGAGCTCTACTTCTACCGCGCGCAAACCCAAAACGACGCCTCGCAATGGGGTGACGGGCCCCTCGTCTGGGACGACGCGCGCCTCGGCAGCACGCACACCCAAGTCCGCGACGTCTCCTGGCAAGACACCTCCGCCGGGCTAGTCGTCCACTACCGCGTCCGCGTCGCGCCCAAGGCGCTCGAATGGGGCGTCGAGGCATCCCTGACCTACACCGTCTCCGCTGCCGGCAGCCTCAGCGTGCACGCGCGCGGCGACTTCGTCGGCAACAACACGCCCGAGGTCGTCCCGCGCATCGGCCTCATGGCGGTGCTCCCCGCCGACTACGACGCGGTGTCGTGGTTCGGCCGCGGCCCGGGCGAAAACTACAAGGACACGAAGCAGGGCTGCCGCGTGGGCCGGTACGAGGCGAGCGTGGACGAGCTGTTTACGTACTATGACTACCCGCAGGAGAACGGTAACAGGGAGGATTTGCGGTGGGTGAGGCTCGGCAACGGGGACGTGACGCTCGACGCGCGGCGGGCGGAGGGGGAGGATGTGTTCAGTTTTACGGCAAGGCGGTATATGCCGTTCGACCTGGACGACGCGAAGCACCCGCACGATTTGAAGCCGCTGGATATGACGATTTTGAATCTGGATTATGATAATCATGGGATTGGGTCGGCGACGGTTGGGCCGAGGCCGTTTGAGGAGTATAAGTGCTACTCAAAGGCTTTCGACTTTACGTTTGAGCTGAGTGTTGAGTAGACACAAGAGTGTCTGTGGGACGTAATTGCAAGAGATGTCGGAAGACTTGACTATCATGAGCGAACAGGACACTATCACAGGGAAGGACAGCATGATGCAGCCATGATGTTCGATCTTTCTTCTAATGCAATTCTATGAACCTGAGCGGCGATACTCTTTCTAGTTCTCGTGCCTAGGCATCCCGCGAGACACGAGCCCTACCAATTCCCAGTTCCGTGACTCCAAATGAACGTGCAGTCCCAAAATAAAAAGTGTACCCAGACATATTCTCATGTCTATCAGAGTCCGCTGAGGTACCAATCCATCCCAGATAAGAAGCCTTCATGCGAGGTTAGATGCCAATCTGTTGACTCGAGTGAGCCAAAGCCCCGAGGCGACTTGCAAAGACAGATCCTCCTACTCCAATAGCTCATTAGTATCATCCCTGTCCGAATCTTGGTTCGATGAAGTACCTTGCGTGGACATGCCCTCTGGCCTAGTAGCAGTGGCGCCGGCACTCTTCGCGCGCCTCTTTTGTCGTTTTCTCTCCTTCTTCTCCCGACGCTTTTTGGAACGTCGTTTCTCATGCTCTTCGGGCTCGGAGGCAGGGCCCGGGCCTTCAAAGAAATAGCTTGTCGAATCCTGACTTGAGGCGAGGTAAGGGTCTCTCAAGAGCTGCATTTCTTCCTCCGTAACAGGCGTAGCCGGCAGAGGCTTCAGTACTTCTTCGCGGGGGCGCTTGAACTGGAGGACGCGATCTCCAAACTTGCGGATGTTCTCGTCCGAGATGCGGAGGGGAGGGAGAGGGTTGGAATTGGCCTCGTCGGGGAGCGTGTCAGCCACCGCGCGCACTGGGTAGATGTGCTCATCGGGATCAACCTCCTCGAAACCGTTACGAACAATCGCCTCCCAATCATCCGGGTATTGTTCTGCCAGCGTCAAGTCCAGATCTTCACCTTCGGAATCGTAGTTCTCTGCGTCAGTGTCTTCGTCTCCACCGTCTGCACGAGTCTTCTTAAACATCTCCTTCTTCTTTTGTCGTGCAGGCACCGTCCCATCTAGGATGACGTTGTCTTCCCAGTGGTGTATCGTAAAATCGATGTCCGTAAGATATGCCAGTCGCTGGACAAACGGGACGCATTTTCCCGGCTTGTGAGGCACGCCGCATGGCTCACGGGTGAGGTGAATTTCGAAGCGAGGCGCCAGACCCTTCATTCGAAGACAGGTTTTGAGGTCCTTGAGATCTGCCATGCTGACCCGCTTGATCTTCTGGTCGCCGAAGAGATGAAGCTGCATCATGGTGTAAATCGCATACGCCGACAGCTTCTTCTCGGTATGACCCGCAGCCCAGTTGCCGACGTCGTCCTCGGTAGGCTTCTTGCTGGCGCCGTCGTATGGGGAGCCCATCTTGAGGCCCAGTAGCTCCGCAAGATGTTTGACGCGCTTGGTCCATCTCGCATGATGGACGACGAAATTCTCATCCTCAGGCCGGGCCAGGTCAAACATGTTGCCAGAAAGCGCCAGCTTCAAAACCTGCATATCATCGTGTATGTCTCTGTTGGCAAGAAAGGCGCATGTCTTGAGACTGAACAGGTGCTTGACTCGGTGGAACGATCTCTCTGGCGAAGTGTACTCCGCAACACCCACGGACTGCAGGACTTTGAAGGAAAGTCCGGCTTGACGGTACAGGTAAAGACCGTCAATGACTTCCCACAGTGCGTTTTCCGTGCCGGCTTCCACCGCATCTGGGCGCAATTCCCCATCGCCTACTTGTATCATCGCATCGAACCTAGCGTTGCTTCCTTCCATCCTCTTGAAGAAGAAAATCTTCTCCTGTGGTTTGTCGATAGGAATGATGGGGAGGTTATCGAAAATGACGGGCTCGTCGACTTCCTCGGTCTTGATTATACGGTCGAGAGAATCAAGCTCCATCGGGTGGTCCTGCTGAGACTCGGGCTGCTCGTCCATCTTGTCGGATTGAATTAAAATTTTGAATAATGGCAACTAGCTGAGTGGCTGTGAGTTGAGGCTTGCTCAGGTTTGCGGAGACGAGTTGAGTTGGTAAGGTGGTGATTTGGAGCGGGACGTTGTGAACAAAGAAGAGAGCCGCCGGCGCGAGAAGGACCAGAGGATATGGGCAATCTCAATGGCGGAAGGAGCGCCGATGGCAGTATAGCCTGGACGAAAGAGGGAGAGCAGTGGAAGGTGGTGAGGACTTCGAATTTGAGAATGCGGGGCTCAAACGTGTGAAATGCAGAAAGGGGAAAAAAAGACAACAGGGAACAGGAACTTGATTTCCCTCGGCGAAGTTACTGAACCGTCGTGAGGCGGTGGGTGAGAGCGGGGGAGAAAAAAAAAGAGAGGTTGAGGTTGTGGAGATATCGCTGAGAAAGTAGACGTCCAGATCGCAGGAGTGACCCAATCCAAAAAGGAAATCGCGGCGATGGAGCGTTTAAGAATTTCCAACGGGAAAGAGGGCGTCTTTCGGTTCGAAGTAGACTAGCCTCGAGTTGCGTCGAGGTGCAGTTGATTGAGAGGCGGATGTGGGTGGTGAAGGGGTCGACGTACAAGACGAGGTGATGTCGCCGAGAAAGCAGGAAACCCAAAACTCAACTAGGACGTCGCGACGTGAGAGGATGGAGGAGAAGGAAGCGAAGAATGAGAGAGAGGCGAGATGGCGTGATGCGTTGCTCTCTGGTGGAAGGTTGACTGAGTCGAGAGGAGAGTGGGGGGGAGAAGAGGTCGAGGTGGAAGTAGTATCGCCGGAGGAGTTGAGATGTCAAGATCGCGGGAAGGGCAGGCTCAACCAGGAAGTCGCGACCTGTGAAGATGAGGCAGAGCGACCGGGACTGTGAGAGGTTGGAGAGCGTCCGCCAGGCACAAGTAGGCTGACGTGATGGCCCAAGCGAAAGGAGAGTGTAGGAGAGAAGAGGGTCGTGGCCAAGGTGTTGTCGCCGAGAGATCACAGGCTTCGGTATCGCAGGAAGGACCAACCCGACATAATGGTGCCTCAGACACAGAGTTTCACGAGTTGGGGATGCAGACGACGAGATGGTGCGTATGAGAACGGTCGGTCGAGAGCAACTGATCTCGCGATGTCTTGGTGGGGTTGCAGGAGGTGACCCTCAGGCGCCGAAGGCGGCTCCGAGTAAGGCGACTCGGTGCAAGAATGAAGCAGGAAGGCGCGATGGATTGAAATCCTATGAGTTCAAGCAGCTCGCAAGCGTGGTGTTGAGTTATAATCGACGAAGCTGGGGCTACATTCAACGGAACGGACCACGGCAAGCGCCTCGAACTTGGTATAATGGACGGCCCTCAGGACTTGACAGAACAGTACGTGAATCACAATTACTGCAATCAGTCAGCGGCAGACGCCGACAACAACACGGCCTCACTCGCCGACAGTACGAACGAACCCGAGAGGCCAGCAGGAACAGGAGCAACAAGCCCAGAGATGAGGTATCATTCGCATCAAACACCACACGACAAGAGCACCAACACCAACACACCGAGAAGACAACAAGACATGCAGGATGGAAAGGCAAGCGAGCGGGGGGACTTGAATTTGGGATATCCGGAAGGAAAGGCATTTTCCAACCAAGTAGAATAAAGTCATTACTCTCTTCTCAATCGTGAAAACATCCATTTTCAGACGCCTAAAACCCCGCCAGTGAAATTGCCCATTTTTGATTGTCCGTAAGCCATGAACCGTGGCCCAAAAGCCCTTCCCAGTGTTTTTATTGCGACAGTACTTCGTCTAGGGGAATAATCTACTCGTCATCCTCCTCATCCTCCTCAGCCTCGGCGGTGGTCTGGGCGATACCTGGTGAAGCAAGTCAGTATTAACGAAGCCAAGATACATGCGGCATGAGAGGCAAGACGTACGGTCTAAGTCACGCTGGCCGGACTGGGTGATGCGGCGGCCACCCTTCTCCTCGTCCTGCTCAAGGACGCCAATCTTCTCGAGGGCCTGGCAGATCTTGCGGTCGACGGAGCCGGAGGCGTCGACGTGGTGGCTGGGGCGGACACCGCGGTTCTTGGCGGAGCCGTGGACCTTGCGGAGGCGGCCGACACCGACGGTCTTGCGGAGGTAGATGTGGCGGGCGACGGAGGCGGCGCGCACGTAGAACCAGTCAATGTCCTGGGGAGGGAGCTCCTTGGCGGGACCGGTCTTGACGATGTCAACCCAACCTGGCAAGACGTGTGGTTAGCCAGCTGTCTCTCTTCGTTGTTCCATGCGAGGATGAGACGGAGGGGAAGGGGACAGGAACATACCGGGAATGGGCAGCTTGCCCTGACGCTTCAGGAACGCAGCGTAGGCGTTGATGAACTTTTGCGCCTGTCGCGGGGAAAAGGACCAATTAGCAATGATTCCGTCATCAGAAGTCTTTCGACTCCCTCACGCCTGCTCCATTGTTCCTCTCATGTGTTGTAGTTGGCCGTCTTCCCCCTTCTTTCCCGTGATGCGCAGATTCCTCGCCGCGCAGACTGCCCCTTCGAAAGACCAGGTCTTCCTCCGAACCATCACTTCTTCGAACAAGCCCCATCGTGGTCAGCGTCTCCGCGACACCCCGAAGGAGGCATGGCGAGAGGATCAGGTCGGGAGCCAGTCGTAGTCGGCCGTCTTTTCAGATGCGGCAGTGGCAGTCGTGCGCGGCGTCATTGAAACACACACATCGCGGTCGGAAGGATGGAAGCAACGGTTGAATTTTTTTCGAGGTTCGGAAATCGGGCTTTTCTTCAAGGGTAGCGGTTGGAACCTACATCGACATCGCGGACAGAAACACCACCGGCCATTTTTGCGGTATTGATTGGGATGGGTTGGGAGGGGGAGGGACTGGTACGGCGCTGGGCGTTTGGAAAAAAAGTTGGGCGATGAAGTCGGTCGGATCAACAAGCTCGATTTCGCGATCACGGGAAAAAAGTTTGGTGGTTTGGAAAATTGCGATTCGCGGGGGCAGGGTTGGAAAGCCCTCGTGGTCTGTGCACGCTATCACGTGGACAGCGCTGGTTCGGCGAATCAGAAGTGGATTAGATAAGAGGCATGCGCTAACCGCAATTGGATGCGGCTTCGAGGTGGGGTAGGTTCTGCAGATTCGGGGCCGGCGTGAGAGATTGAAGATTCACGTTGTCGAGACCAGAGACTCGAATTTGGTGTTAGGAGCCTTCTCACTAACGCTGTCGTTATTACACGTTACTCTTGCATAGTTGAGACCTGGATGGGCACCTTCAATGCCACTTCACATTCAAAACTCAACATGACATCACCAGGCAAAGTATTTGAACGGATGCATCAAGTCTCGAATCAATAATCATTATTACGTCCTGAAGGCAGGATGCAGAACTCCTGCCCATGCAAAAAATCCAAAATGCCTACGACGGGAATCCCTCAAACCATACAGCGGAGCAGGCTCACAAGACCCAGGTATCATTCTCAATCCCAATCCCATACATATCCCATGTCCCATATCTATCCATTTTCAACGTCTAGTTCAGTTCGATTCAATGCAACGGCTTCCGCCACCAGTTATGCTCCTAGGCCCAGTTGGCCAGGACGGCCATCACGCAGGCGCCGAGGGCAACGCAGCCGAAAGCAAAGAGCTGGATCTTGAGCGGAGAGTTGCGCATCTGGGGGTTGAACATGAACTCGTGCGCCAGCAGCTCGACGAGACCCGTGTACATGAGAATTCCGGCGCTGATAGAGTCGAAGATGCCGTTAACGAGAGTCTGCGTCTCGGCGCTGCTGGGCCTGGCGGCAAGACCGACGGCAATGGCGACCGGGGTCGAGAGTCCGTACAAGCAGGCGAGGATGTGCGGCCACCACTTTCCGTGCGAGGGCCATTGAGCGACAGCGAGACGGGAGCCAAGACCGAGGCCCTCGAAGAATTGGTGGAAGGTCAAGACGATGAGAAGGACGACTAGTTCATCACTGGTGGCGAGGACGAGACCGATGAAAATGGAGTGGAACACAACACCGAACTCGAGGATGAAGATGGCTGTGAGCTGACCGGTGAGACCGGAGTGGCTGTCTCCCTCGACGTGATCGCGGGCGTGGCCGAGGTGGTCGCGTCCGCCGGGAGGGTAGCTGACGTCGTCCGGAAGTCCGGGCACCTTTCTGGGGTCGACGAAGCCGTTGCCTCTCTCAGCGTCGCCGTTGTCGTGGGGGCAAACCTCGCTGGGGCTACCGTCGGTGGCCTGGTCCTTGGACTTGACAGCGACAGCACCAGTGCCGTTCATCTCGTGGTCGTGGCTGTGGGAGAAGGCGCTGCCGCTGGTCATGTTGGAGGCAACCATCTCAATCAGGAACATGACCATGACGGTCATCAGGCCGATGGCAAAGGCCCAGTCGTAGTCTCCGAGCCTGGGAGCCAAGCACTCGTTGTGAAGAGCCTCGACACCGGGGGCGAGCAGGTGCATCCAGGCAGTGGCGATGATGACACCGGTACCGACATACTTGAAGATGAAGAAGGTCATCTTGGGGACGTGCATCCTGGTGGTCCTGGCGAGGAAGATGGGCAGGAAACCGCCGAGAAGCGAGGCGACGAGGATGATGAAGATGGAGGCGATACGCAGAGGCATGTTGCTCACGTCGACGGCAGCAGCGCCGCAGGCGTTGGCGGTTGCATCGGTGGTGTCAGAGCCAGCGTCCTGGCGGGCGGCGAGAAGCCTCGCCGCAGAAATCTGAAGAGGGTTCATGTTGGTTGTTGTTGAAGTGCTGTGAAGCAGAGCGTCTTCTCTTATGCTTCGGTTGTCCGAACAAGTCGAAACCCTTGAGGCGATGGCGGCTCAAAGGTTACACGCGTTCCAGCTGCACCACGACGGCGTCCTGGGTGACGGGAGACCGAAGATATTCAAACCGTGCGTCCCCGGGGGAATGGGTCAAGTGCCGGCAGGGTGCGTGACTTTGTGGTGACACAGAGAATGCTGAGCTTGTCGGGGAGCTGGTTGGCGGGGGTGAGAAGCAGCAA